TTTATAGGAGCATATATGTATGTGAACGTCTTCTCTTATTCATCACATGTCTGTAACTTATTTTAGTCTGACTATCAATATCGATTAACGTTTGATTAAAATAAGTTGGCTCACACACCTTCTCCACTGCGCGTCATTTTGCTTCTCTTTCTTCTCTTCGCTTCGTCCTTCTGATTGTCTGCCCAGATCAATGAATGTACAAAATATACGTATTCAAAAACTAATCTAGTATTTGACTTATTTAATTTTGTTATTCACTAATGTGATTTAAGTGGATAATTTTATACAAGGATTGATGATATGTATATTTCAATAACAATCATTCATACGATCAAATTGTAGTGAGATAAAGGGCTATAAAAGTGATCAGCCCGTTGACAATATCATCGTTCCATATAATTGGTGTCAAAATAACGGGCCACTAAAACAATACGATTCACGGTTTATCTAACTGATCAGTTAAAACTAGGAAGACATATGAGTCATGGACTGCATAGATAGCCACCGTTCAGAAAGTTCATTGTTATTGTACGATTTCATGTATTTAAGATAAAACAGTATTATGTTAAAGTACTCAAGTTGCAAGTTAATTTGATAATGTAATAGTCATTCTTTTTTTGAAAAAAGTTTACCTTTCATTGTTTTCCAGTTTACTGTATTTCGAAGAATGTATATCGAGGGGTCTTACAAAGGTAAAGATGTAATACATACGTAAATTAATCGGTAAACTCATAGCTAGTTTTACTGATTCCAAGTCCATCATCACTTTATATTAACGTGCTAAAATCAATTAAATATTTAAATACATACTCTGATATATGTTTATATGGAGAAGTGTATATATATAGTAAGTCTTATATGTTGATGACTATCAGTTCAGTGAAAAGTTTTAAACCTTTGACTAGTGAATATACGATTATCTACTTATTAATTGAATTCATGCGTCAATGAAAGCTAGACTATCATGAAAAATCTGAAAGAAGTGGTCGGCCGTTTCATTTAAATATGGGACTCCTCAGCAGTGCTCATCCTTGATCACACCCCGCTAGATAAGAACCCAAGACCTATTGTTCTCCCACGCGAACTCTTAACCTTTAGACCACTGATGTGGACAACATCAAAAACTGTTCATGCCTAACTTCAATCAATCCACGAAATGGCTCCGCCGTCCAGTGCTTCCAGGTTTTCCATGATGATCTAGCTTTGATTGACTCATGAATTCAACTATTAAATTACCAAAATCTCCACAAAACCTTCTTCTCATTCTTTGTCTATTTAAGTGATTTCGTTATAATCTCATGATTAAAGCTTAATCTTATAGTCCTAAATCTAATCCTATGTATAGTATCAAGTGCGTATTGTTGAAAAATTCAAATAAAAAATACCATCAAATAGATAAAATGGCACCTAATTCTTGATAGTTTAGAATACATTTATTTACAGGTAATCTCGTTATCCAAAATGAATGAATAATTACATTACCAATCAAACATGACCTAGTATTATAAGGAATATCATATGTTCGTTTTATCAATAAGTTAGCTAGAAATAATTATCATTTATTTACTTACGCCTGTTACTCCCAATGGAGCATAGGCCGCCGACCAGCATTCTCTAACCCACTCTGTCCTACCCCTTCCTTTCTAGTTCTATCCAATTTTTGTTCATTCTTCTCATGTGTGTCTTCATTTCTCAGAGTAATGTGTTCTTTGGTCTTCCTCTTCTCCTTTGACCTTCAGAATTCCATATGACGGTTAGCTAGAAATATACAAGAAACAAATTATTATTATGTTCGGAATGAAGATTTTGTGGAGATTGTAGTAATTCTAATAGTTGAATTCATTAGTCAATATAAGCTAGATCACCATGAAAAATTTGTAAGCACTGGACGGCCGTTTCGTCTTGGGTTTGAATCCTGCGTGCACGATCGTGGACGAACACTATACATATATAATTTTAGAGCCACATCTGGTCTATTTCTTACCAAACAAAAGGAAGAATAAATTACTTATTTATCACTATTTTCGATGATGATGATGATCCCAGATATTTTCATCGTGATTTTATTAATTCTCCATGTTTTTTCGTTCATCTTTTATCTTCCTATCGAATTTATAATCGTCTACTTTTCCATTATTTGATTCTCAGTTTTTCTCTGAACCATATTCCACTCTACCTTAAGGCTACATTGATTACATATATATTTGACTACTTTTTTTTTAGATCCAATAATGTACTTTACATTGGAAACGTTCATTTTATCACTCCCCCCACCCTCATTATTGTTATTGTCTTCTGTTTATCATTTCTCTTTGAAGTCAGTTATTTAATGGTATTCATTTATAAGACTAAATTACAGTGTAAGAGGGTAGGGAAAATAGAGGATACATGGAATATTGCCACTTTTTTTTCCCCACATTTTTTAAGATAAGAAAATGATGCAAAATAAAGTTACATTTCTGTGGATCCTGGTTTTTTTGTTTGTTTTTTTTTGGAAAAATATTCAATTTCATAATCGTCGAAGAAATTTGCAATTTTAAAAATGATGTAGAAAAAAACTTTTTATTCCCCCCCCCAAAAAAATGTTTTTCTTTACACAAAAAAAAAGAAAACTTTAACAATGTAACTGGGAAAAGTATCTAAGGTAAATGAAATTTTATGATCATAATTACTGATAAAAATTTTAAAAAAAAATTGGCTTTTAGTCGGTGATTGAAATGATTTCATTCCATTAAAAATACATTTTCTTCCATGGTTTTTTTTTTCATTTTCTTCTTTGGATAATAATGTATAGATGTATGAAATACTAAGTCTTTATGTACTTGTCATAGTCCTTTCATATTATTACCATACTCTTTAGAGTAAATTTTCTGATAAATAACCAATGAATTGGGATCTAATATTGATGTATCAAATAGAAGTGGATAGATTAAGATGTTATTGATAGGCTATTGTGATTGAATTGTAATGCTTTATGATAAAGTTCTAAATTGGTTTATATGGTATTATATTAAAAGGTACTGACTTTTTCTTTTACTAAGATACAGAGATTCACGTTAAATTATTTAAATATTGAATAATAATAAGCTGTTAACTTGGTGGTGAGAAAATAAGATTATACCCTGAGGCAACTTATCATACAGTTACTATCTTTTAAAGTTTGTTTTTTTCAAAAGATAACTTTATTTAATAAAGTACACTATCCCATCTATGATTACTCTGTATACTGAAATAGTATGGACAAATAATTCTACACTTATTTCTTAGTGTTTCAGTTTAGCAATGGTCTTGAATCTGGGATGTAAGGTAATGTGACTTGAGAATGTTTCATAAAGCATAGATATTGTATAATAATTGAGCATAGATTATAAAAATCTTGATATTTCTAAAGGTTAATCAGTCTACATAATTCCTGAGGTTCTTATAATATGAAATCGTACTTTATTAAAAATGATGTAAACTTTGATGGAACAATGAAATGTGATGCTGTTAATGTCATTCAGAAGAAAGATAAAAACTCCATGACCGAACCATTCAACTCAGAAAACAAAACTCCATCAAAATCATTCACCTGATCTACAGTTCTTGTTCAACATTTCAATATAGATATGTACATAAGTACAGGTCAATAGTTAGTTGATTGAAAAGAAATCTTTTTATCTAAATTTCATGTTTTATTGTTCGAACTAAAATGATAAAACTGTTCTAAATGAAAAATGTCCAAATACATAAATATTATAGTTTAGTACAGTTCAAAATAAAAAGAACTCGAACCCAGTACCATTCTTTTCAAACATCATCGCATTATCCACTTAGCTAGTGAATCCAGACGCTCATTAGCTTGTACACCGGTACTGAGTTCGAGTCTCAAAGTCAATATCAACTCTGGGATGCAAGCACATTCAGCTGACAAGTTCCAAATGGGATGAAACATGCATTCTGGATTCCAATGCCGGCCTTCATTCATCTCTGCTTATAATGCTTGTGATTCTAAAAAATATCAGCCAATCCACACAGTATACATACATACCAACATGAGAATGATTGATTGCAGTTCTAAACATCAATGAAAAGATTCAAACAACCAATACAAATATGAATAAAACAGTATTAATCTTACTTACTTACATACGCCTGTTACCCCTCGTGGAGGAGCATAGGCCGCTCACCAATATTCTCCATCCAACCCTGTCCCAGGCATTCCTTTCTAATTCTTTCAAGTTGTTATTCATCCTTTTCATATCTGCTTCTATTTCCCGAAGTAATGTGTTCTTTGGTCTTCCTCTTTTCCGCTTCGCTTGACCATTCCAAGTTAGGGCTTGCCTCGGGATCCACTTCCAACGTCTTTTCCTAATTTCCTCTTCAGCTGGAAGCGGGTTTTTCCTCTCCCATAAAACGCTGATGCTGATAGTATCCGGCCAGTGAATGAGTATTAATCTTAGTAATTGTCTTGATTATATTACTTTCTTAACTTACTTACGCCTGTTACTCTCAATCGAGAATAGGCCGTCGATCAGCATCCTCCAACCCACTCTGTACTGGCCTTTCCTTTCTAGTTCTATCGAGTTTTTGTTTATTTTTCTCATTCCTATCTCCATTTATTCGGTGTAATGTGTTCTTTGGTATTCCTCTTCTTATTCGGCCTTCAGGAATGCATGTAAGAGCTTATCTTGTGACGCAATTGAGTGACTTCCTTAATGTGTGTCCTATCCACTTTCAGCGCTTCTTCCTTATCTCTTCCTTCACTGGAATCTGGTTTGTTGTCTCTCACAGTAAATTGTTGCTGATAGTGTCTGGACAACGGATAGGAATTATCTTGAGTAGACAACATACTTCGGATTCGTCTTGAATATATACTTGATTTGAAAAATACATAATCGTCCATATTTTGTGATCATTCAAGATTTTGATTCCATTACATATTGTAAACGCTTAAACTCTTAAATTCTTGTTAAATTTACAGTTTTCCTTTTTATATTTCATTGATTTCATTTGTTTAGGTTCCAAATATTCGAAATTTTCTATGTACAACATTTGAATTACGCTCAAATAATGTAGAAAAATCATGGTCATATTTAGAAATACGTATTAATCAAGAAAGTACAATAGAAAATTCTAATCGTGTAACATTTATAATAATTACACATGAACGTGGTGAATTACCATTCAGCGCTTATGATCGTCATATTCATACAAATTTACCACCAGATACATCTGTTTCATTATATTTTTCTAAATCTGTAACAACACGTTTAAATACTGGTAGAAATCCTTGTCATGTTGGTGCTGATGCTAAATTTATTTCATCAGCATTAACCATGAATACTGAAGAAGAAGAAGAAGAAGAAGAAAAAGAAGTACAAGAACAAAAACATAATTTCATGGGAAGAAGATCCCATAATTCAACAATACTCAATGAAATTAATGATTATGATCTTAGTACAATTACTAATAATAGAAATAATCATTATGATCATAATACTAATAATGATAACAGTAATGATAATGATAATCATCATCATCAATGGTATCTAGATTACCTGGATACAATACGTATGAAAAATAAACAACAAACATTTGTTAGTGATACAACAAATTATTTACAATTTGCTTTAAAACGTTTAAAACAAAAAACTAAAGAACAATATTTAAGTCAAACAAATACAGTTAGTTTATTTGGTACAGAATTTTTATATAGTCGTGAAGCATGTGGTTGGGTTGAATGTTGTACTAAAGTAGCATATCATTGTAATTGTACATGTACATTAGATTTATTATCTATTAATCGTACAGCATTACAAACACATTTTTTATGTGAACGTACACAATGTCAAGATGAACAAATCCCATATGAAACATGTCCATTACCATGTATACAAACTAAATTTATTAAACATAGTGAAGTACGTTTACCTGGTTATGAAGATGGTTTACCAATATTAACAAGTCGTTTAAAATTAGTACGTAGTGAAAGTGTACAAGTTGCTATGGAAGAAGAAATTTTTTCATTAGCTAAATTATTTTCTGAAGTTGGTGGTTTATGTTCATTATTTATTGGTTTTAGTTGTATATTTTTATTTGAATTATTAGAAGCACTTATATTAATGTATTATCCTAGCAACAAATATAAAAAATCAATACCATTCAATACAATCAATAATAATAATAATAATACTAATAATAGTAATAATAGTAATAATAGTAATAATAATAATAATACGAATAGTAATATTACTCAATCAGATATACATAAAATGAATGATCAGAAATGTTTAACTACACCATTTATTCAAGCTAATAAACATATAACAGATGTAATACCAAATGTTAATATAGATAGTATGATAAATTCAACAATAACTACAATTACTACTACTAACATCTGTAATGATATCAGTAGTGAGAATAATAATCATAAATTTAGTTATTCCGATAATAGAATCAAAGTTAATGTATCCTCTGCCAATGATGCTTCAATGGAAGAATATATAGATAATGGTATACAATTTACCCAAGAAAATTTACATTTTAATGATAGTAATATTGATAATAATAATAATAATAATAATAATAATAATAATAATAATAATAATGAGTTACGAACTATGGATCAATCAAAAAATGATCCACATTTATCATCCTATAAAAATAATTATCATATTGAACAATCTATTGGAGTAGAACATTCATATAACTGTAATCATACAGATACTAATAATGACGCGGATCATACTCAAGAACATACTCTCTCTTTATCTAATCAATATGAACATAATTCGAATGATAAAAATGGATCAAATCACTTATATATATTACCTATATGGTTAAATACAAATATACCATTACATATAATTCAAAATAGACAAAATGATAATATGAGTAAATCTTTTCAGATTAAATCAAATAATTCAAAACAATTAACCAATTTATTAGATCATAATAATAATTTTCAAGAAGAAGGAGATGAAGAAGGAAAAGAATGTGTGTATAGTGAAACTACAACTAGTAAGTTGAAGGTTTCATTGTAATTTTTGTATAAAAAGCTATTGTGTTTTAAATGTCTTCCTGACTCTCTCTCTCTTACGCCTGTTACTATTCGTCGAAAAGCATAGGCCAACCACCAGTATTCTAGATATAACTATTACCTGGACAATCCTTTTCATCTCTGCTATCGATTCGCGACACAGTGTGTTCTTCAGCCTTCCACTATACAGTTTTCATTCACGATTCCAAGTGAACGCTTGCCTCGTGATGCAGTTTGATAATTTCTTCAATGTATGTTCTATTTACTTATAGTCTTTTCCTAATTTCCTCTCCAACTGGAAGGTGATTTGTTCTCTCTCACAGTAGGCTGTTACTGATGGTATATATTTGAAATAAGCTTGTCGAAATAATGGTTAATATGCTTATTTATGTAAAATGAAATGAATTATTAAAAAACATGCATACACTGAGTGGAAATTATTGTGATGTTGTCTAATCTCAACTGTTGCTTTTATTTTATGAAACTGACTTGATATGAAGTTAGGTAACAAAGTAATTTGCTACCATTGTACACTTTGAATAGTCATATCTAGTTGTACAAACATTTTGAGCATAGATCAAACATGAAAAAGAATTATCAATGAAATTGAGTGAAGTAATCAGTGGATACCTTCTCAATTAAAACTGTGCCTCCTACCTCTTTGAATGACATAGGAAGAATAGATTTTCAGTAGTTTGACAATAGGCCTTAGTAAAAAATATTGATATGTACAAAAGGTATTAATTATCTAATATTCAATCAATACACAACTAAAATATCTTAACACTGTGTAATAAAGTCACTTGGTAAGATGATGGTTGGAGGTGGTCAACAGGAAACCCTAGACCCGGGTTTCGTGCTACTTGGCACTCGTCAGCAAGGTGTACCTGTAATCCTGAAGGAATTAATGCTCCCTGGCGGATCCGATCCCGCGTCACTCAGCTTCACAGTCAGAGACGTCACCACTGAGCTATTCCGGCCGAGACCAACCTCCTGTAGGACTGAGATGTAATCACAAGTCACTTGGTATTGTTTTATTGGATCGTTCCATTGACGTTTAGGACTGAAATTGATCAGTCTTTTATTGACGTATGTGCATACTGTGCGTATTGCCTCGATATAGCCTTAATCCACAAGCATTATAAGCAACGATGTATAGTGGGTTATAATACTTGTTAATAAAGGCGATATCGAGGCAATACGCACAGTATGCACATACGCCAATAAAAGACTGATCAATTGCAGTCCTAAAAATCAATGGGAAGATACAAGTAAACAATATCGAGTGAATTCAAACTTCACCCCATTGCACAAGCAAGTGGTTATCAGGACTCAGTAGCTGAGTGGATAACGCGATAGCGTTTGAAGCGAAAGGTACTGGGTTCGAGTCCCAGAGTGAACATCAATTTTGAGATGCAGTTATATCCAGCTGGTGAGACCCAAATAGGATGAAACGCACGTCCTGAATTCCACTGCTAGCCACTATCCATCTTTGCTTATTATGTAATGAAGGTTTATACGACTTCATATTATTATACACAGTTACTTTAATAAGATTGATCAGTGATCTTTTCTCACGAGAATGAAGAAAAATATAATGAACATGTTAAAAATTGATCCAGAAAATTGTTTTTATTAAATAAATAAAGTTCTAAGTAGAGACCACAGTAAGATTTATTTACTTATTGAGTGATGAAATACATCTCAGTAATTTACATACACTATCACATTATATCATATGCTATTCAGAAATTATTTACATGATAAATGTAAACTGCGAACCATAAATTTTTACTGCATATATAGATCAGTTACTTACTGCACTGTTTTGTCAGTAAGGTCCCTGATATGTGTTAGTGAAAGTATATGTGGTTAGGTACTAAGCATGAGCAAACATTCACTCAGCTTGCTGATTGTTAAATGTATGGTTTCTTCTTCTATGATTGGTTTGTACTTCGACTTTACTGTGGCCCCCAAATGCCCTTGTACGGCCGAGAGTAGGGAGAGTCCGCTCTCCCTCTCCAAATGCTCCCTAACCTCTGCCAAGTCTTACTCATTGCCTTCTAGTGGCGGGGGTGTTGTTCACAAAAGTGAGAGGATGAAAAGCGAATGTCCGGCGCTTTAACCGGGTTGGTGGATGTGGAGGATCCACCTAGGGGAGTTGGAAAACCCTGATTCCAAACCAATGGTGCACATGGGCTCCAGTATCTTAAAGGAACAAAATGGTGTATGAACCAATCATTGGTCACCAGCTAACATGGGACTGCATCTAATTACTATGCTCCACTGCCTTGTGGATCAGATCTTTAGGTCAAAGACTCTGGGTGTGGTCCCTTAAGAAAACCACCTGCTTCAGTTTGGGCACCTGTGTAGTATCACAGTCTTCACACAAATCAAATGAGAATTGTGTGGTGCATATGTATCTGGTGCTTCCTTGTACCAATATTTATGTGTTCAAAAAAATGAATAATAAACTAGACTTACTCTAGTTCTCTATTTCTGTTCGTAAATCAGGCATCTTTTGTAACATGATCTAGTCTGTGTATAGCGTATTGTTCTAGTATCCAATTCAGTGGTAGTATAAATGAGGTCACTAATCATATTATTGTATTGTAGTAATATATCGTCAAGAAGCGAAAATATATTAACTCTTCCCTTATATCAGTTCCTTGGAATGAAGTAGAATCAAAAGTCTAAATTTCATAGCATTTATTAACTTACCAAAGATTTTCTATGTACCTCAATTACTTACTTACGCCTGTTACCTCTCTTCGAAGAGCATAGGCCACTCACCAGCATTCTCCACCCAACTCTGTCCTCGGCAGTCCATTCTAGTTCTTTCTGGTTGTTATTCATCCTTTTCATATCTACTTCTATTTCCCGGCGTAATGTGTTCTTTGGACTTACCTTAATGGTAAGTCCTAACGAACATCAAATCAAAGTTCAGATCTTGTTGCTGATCGTTTCAAAGTATTTACCATCGATAATCGATATATTATACATTTATGAATTGGAAAAATAAGAAAAAAAAAATTTTGATTTTTCAAACGGAATATGACTATTCAATTTAAAGAAATTGTTTCGATTTTCAATTGTACATAATGGACACTTGATAAGGAAAATACCAACATTTCCTTCTTCAACTTTCTATGACAATCAAAAATTCTTTTCTTTTTACAATGGATTTAAGATAGAACAACCAACTTATATACTGGTTACATGTTCATTTCAATCAGATGAATATTATGGTATGTTGAATGAAGTGATTGGAGTAAAATTTGATTATTGATCTATTTGTAATAGTTTATAGTTTGTTATAAATTATGTAATTAAGAAATCAGGATTACTTCTAAGGATACACGTTGATATTTTTCTTCTTTTTCTTGATAATTACTTTTACTTACTTACTTGCTTACTTACTCCTGTTACTCCCAATGGAGCATAGGCCGCCCACTAACATTCTCAACCGCACTCTCTCCTACCCCTTCCTTTCTTGTTCTATCCAGTTTTTGTTCATTCTTCTCATGTCTGTCTCTATTTCTCGGTGTAATGTGTTCTTTCGTCTTCCTCTTATCTTTTGGTTTTCAGGATTTCATGTAAGGGCTTGTGACGCAGTTGGGTGCTTATCTCAATGTGTATCCTATCCACTTCCAGAGATCATTCCTGATTTCTTCATCCGCTGAAATCTGGTTTCTTGTCTCCCACAGTAACTTGTTGCTGATAGTGTCTGGTCAACTGATCAGAAGTATTTTGCATAGAAAACTGTTAATAAACACTTGTATCTTCTGGATGATGACCTTCGTAGTTTTTCACGTCTCCGCCCCATACAGTAGAACTGTCTTCACATTTGTATTGAAAATTCTGATGTTGGTGTTGGTTGACGATTGTTTTGAGTTCCAGATGTTTTTCAGTTGTAAATATGCTACTCTTGCTTTGCCGATCCGCGCCCTCACATCTGCATCTGATCCACCGTGTTCGTCAATGATGCTGCCCAGATATGAAAAATGTTTCACATCCTCCAAAGCTTCTCCGTCAAGTGTAATTCGATTGTTGCGTGCTGTATTGTATCGGAGAGTCTTGCGTTTCCCTTTGTTTATATTGAGACCTATTGCTGCTGAGGCTACTGCTACACTGGTCGTTTTCTCCTGTATTTGTTGTTACGTGTGTGATAGAAGAGCCAGATCATCCGCGAAGTCTATATCGTCTAGATCCATCCTGCCTGTCCATTGTATCCCGTGCTTCCCCTCAGATGTTGACGTCTTCATGATCCAGTCAATCATCAGGAGGAGTAGAAAGGTTGAGAGCAAACAACCAAGCCTAACACCGGTCTTTATCTCGAATGAGTCGGTGAGTTGTCCTACATGAACGATTTGGCATTTTAATCTATCATAGGAATCATAGGAATGATATTGACTATCTTCTTAGGCACGCCATAGTGTTGAAGAAGCCTCATTAATGTTGTCTTGTTCACGCTATCAAATGCTTTCTCGTTACTTTTTACTAACTTAAACCTATTGCCAATTGTGTGAGTATAACTCTCCAACTAGGACAGTAAATAAGTATACTATGGATATAGTGAACATTCAGTTAAAGGAAAACAATTCAGATAATTTTTCTAGGGTCATCTTAGTAAAGTGTGTGATTTTTTATCTATTCAATGAAGTGCAGCCAGAAAGCAGTTTCATCACTTTTTACTCTAACCTTGTTATTTCCTAAATTGTTTATTCTGGTTAGCGTTTTGATGTTGTTGTTGCAAGATTGTTTTCTACGGGATAGGGTTGTGACCCAACGACCAACCCTCCTCCTTTGCTTGAGCTTAGGACAGGTAGTAACCTTAGAAGAGATGGTACTTCTAGGAATCAATCTCATTATTTAGCACAGAAACAATTCTCTTTTCAAATAATAAAAGTAACCTGATTGTATTTCTGAGTAAACATAATGCGAATAAATGTTTATTTTCGACGAAATCACTTACTTTAAC